TGAAATGTAAACTTTCAGGCCTGAAAGTTTCTAAGAGTAGATTAATAAAATAATTATCCTCTCAAGGTCCCTTCTAGCCTAGGTAACTTTTCATGGTACTTTTTTTTTTTCTGCAGCAGCTCTTGCTCTACTCAGTAAACATTAAAGGGAAAACGTTCATCTGCCCTTAGAAACTGAATACTGTTGTCAGTGAGGCCACTGGTGTTTTGAGTACTCCTTTGATAGAACATTACAAATAATTCAATGAAAGAATAATTTATTCCAGATAAATGGGTGTTTTGGGTTTTTTTCCTGTGTAACTAGAGTTCTGCTAAATACCAGCATGTGGGCATAACTATGATCTTCTGTTGAAAAAGAAAGTAAGTAATAATAAGCAATGCTGTTTACTGTGCCTCTGCCTGATTGTTCTTTTATATAAGAAATCTTCTCAGCCATCCAGCCCTTCCTAATAGAAATGCAGAATTGGTGCTTCTTAAGAGAATTCTTTATTTCTTATTTGGTTTGGTGGTTTTTTTTCTGTAATTTATCTGGCAAAAGAGAGATCTGGGTTTGAAATATGAGAACTGAACAGTGCCATTTAGTATGGTTGGAGTTTTTGTTGGAACAATTGGAATATGATCTCCTTTAAGAACCTGGAACTGTTTTATCAGTGTTTATAAAATTGTGTGGTACAATAGCTCCCAACTTTTAAACATCAGTAGGAAATGAGAGAAGACAAAACAATGCTTGATGGGAAGTGGGAATAGAACTGTATCCCTGTACAGAGTATTGTGTCCCTGTGTGATTTAGGACAAGCATTTTAAGGACTCAATCCTTTCCCATGTCTTGGATACGTTGGAGGCATCCTTGATTTCCTCATGACTGTGTCATCCCAGAGGAGATACATTCTTTGATCCTTTAATACAGGGAATGTTAAATGTTTCTTCCCTTCTCCCCTAGGAGATGTGGAAGATCCAAGCTGCAAAACAAATACGGTGTTTATCCTGATTTTTTTATCTTTCAAAACTTGGGAGGAGAAAATATCTGGTATTTTCAGAAAATTGGAGAAAAATACATTTGTTTTCACTTTACTGTTTTTACCGATTGCCCTCTCTACCATTGCCTCATGCTAGAGATTTCCTCTAGCCTGTGTTTTATCCAGAAGTTAAAATATATTTGTTTGCTTGAATTGATTTGTTAGTCTTTTCTGACCCAATATGTCAATAAATACCAATGCTGGAAGATTAAAATATGTGAAGGTCTTCATGTCATCTAACCCAGGTGTATCAGGAGTCTATTTTGAATTTCACTTTATTTTATTTTTGTATGGATTTCAAGACTATAGGAATGCTTGCAGTGAGGCTCATTCTCATTCAGAGATAGTATAGTGTTTATTGTTTGGGTTTGGTAGTAAGAAGAAGATTTTAAGATGTTAAGAAGAATGTTTGGTACAAAATTGAGTAAATACAGAGTTACTTAACACCCAAGAGCTTTACAACTAGGAAAAATGAAGATCCATTGTTTAAAGTGTTTATTGTTTGAAGTAATGATAAATACCATATGCTATCTAGATCTGATTTACATTGATTCTATTTATAGCCTGCAGATTGTTGTACTGCCATCATTGTTCACAAAGCTAGTGAAGTAAAATTCAAAGCAGTTGCAACTCCTGGATGACTTTATTATCTGACTTCTGTAAATTGGTGTAACTGCACATATTTTGATAGATGTACTTTAAGGTGGAACTGCTGGAGTTTTGTCCCAATGTGTCCGGTCTCCAGTTCATCAGATTTAAATAGGATCTTTTTGTGGTGTTTTAGATGGTTTAAAACCTTGTTTTGCCTTATGCACCTAATTAAACTATTTACCTTTGTTGTATAAAATAAACTACTTGTTTTAACTGCTTTAAAAATATTTATTGTCATCATATTTAATTCAAAATGCAAAGAACTCCTAAAAACATTTCTTGAAACTGCCTGCTCCATCTTTTAAATATCCCTTAAGTTCTGCTTAGGCTTATTCTTTCAGGGGCAATTGCTACTAAAGATGTCTAAAGAAAAGAGATGAAGAAAACTTTATTGACCTGTGCAGATCAAATTTAAAAGAATTCACAGCAGCCTAACTTCTTTGTGGTGTTAATGCATTTCTATCCTCATAAACAAGGGTGACATAAATTTTAATTATGGTAGTAGAAAGTTAATTTATTTGTTGGAATTGCGGTCTTGAAATCCTGTACATAATAAAGTTGTCCAGTGTGCGTAATACGCAGCAAATAGCAAACTTCAATTAATTCCTAGATAAAATTAGCATGCATTGCACTTCAAGGATTTGTCTTTGTTTCTCTAATCAAAACTTCAGTTAATTTCAGCTTTGTTCTCTGCCTCCCCCACATTAGTTCCATTGTCTTGATTTGCATCATTTGTGGCAGCTGGCTTCTTATCAATCTGTAGTTTATACTTTGACATCAAACAGTAAATTAATTAGAGGAAAATAAATCCCAGTTATACTTCTTGATAACTGTAGAAGCCTCTAAACATAGAAGTGAATGTTGCTGATTCTTGTCAGAGATGAGAAGTGTAACAATGGGGAAGGAGGCAGATGATGCTTCACATTCAGTGAACCGATAGTTATCTCCAGCAGCAAGTGTTGCTCACCTGTGCCTTTTCTTTCCTAGTCCCTCCTATTGTTTGCTATGAAGCTGAACTGGAAAAAATAGCAATTAAAAAAGTAGCATTTGGATGTGGGCTTTTTTTATAGGATGCATGGCTTTAATGCATTGCAAGAAGCAGATGCATCCTTAATGTTACTTTCTTTTCCCTATACCATACTTGAAAAACATAACCTAAACTGCTCGTATTCATTGTCTTACAGTTATTAACTATTTTTCTTCCTATAAAGAGAGAGCAAGTGACCCTTTTACAGTCAATACTATTACAAAAGGCTCAGGAGCATATTCTCCAGAAGATGCTCATAGACACAGAATGTCAAAGAACATGCAGACTTTAGACCTCAGCTCGTGTTTTTGTGAACAGAAAGTATCTTAGTGTTTTGTCAAATTGCTGCACTGTACTAAGTTCCCTTTTTTTCTTTATAGCCATTAGTAATAGTTAGGAAATGAAGACTGCTTTTAGTATTTGCTATACTTATATTGTTCCTTTTAAAAAGCCAAGACAATAGAACAGCATTGGAACCACATTAGTTACTGTGGTGGGGAACCAGGCAAAGCAAGTGGAGGTGAGAGAGTCATTGCACGTTATAAACCTGAAGGAACTCTGCTCTATTTACAGTGAAATAATCTATGGAAATGATGGGCTAGTTCAGTCTAATTTATTTGCTATCTCCTATTGCTTATTTCTCCCATTGTTGTTTCTTTCTTGAACAAATAGGTATGATTTTCTTGCCTATCAATTCAAGATGTGTGTCATCTCTGTCATTCTGATGTTTTTTGCTGTCTTTAGCTGAGCTATCTCATGTAGTTCATCTTTTCAATAGTGTGCAGATCACGAAGGAAGGTAATACCTTGTCTAGCTCTTCGGAGAATATTGAATTTGGTTAGATACTGTGTCTGTTTTGCAGCAATATCTTTCCTCATTTTCCAAACTGTATTGTTAGCGCAGTTTAAGAGCTCAGTCCAGCATTATTCCAAGGTCATTTTGTAAGTCCTGCTGTGATTCTGATTCTTTTATATTTGTCTCCAGTTTTGAGCTGAATATGAAATTTAGTGGTTTAGCTTTTGAATAGGAAATTTAATTTACAACTTGTCAGTTCGTTTACAAAGCAGATACCACTCTGAAGGACTCTCCTAAATATATATGAGGCTTTTCTCTTTTGTCCTCTGTTCATTTCTTTGTTCCCATGAAGCACAGAATTACAGAAATCATTTCACAAATTGAAGTTCACAGTTGTCTCTGCTGCCTGCGAGGCAGTGCAGGCTGGATGGGGCAGCAGATGGGTGGTGGATGCACAGGCAGGGTATCCAGCCAGGAATCTCTTGCCTTCCCTTGGCATCCCTGCCCTCTGTCAGCCCACAAAGCTCCAGTTCATTGACAAAACTTGAGTAACAGTTTGTGGGAACATGAAGATCCTTTTATTATTCTTTTTTGTTGTTGTTTGTTTTAGTGGAAAAGCTCTTAAATTTCATTTCTTTCCATACATATTTCTAGGTATATGTTTTTTTCTCTGTTTTATAGTGAGTGGGTGTTATGTAATCTCTGAAATGTTTGCCATGATTTAACTGTTGTTGGCTTTTGAAATGAGTGTTTGGCTTGCGAGGTACTTGATACCCTTTAATCCTGTGTCAAGTGAATAGTCCAAAATGTCAGAGTCTGCAGGACAATAGGTTATATCATGAGTTAGAATTATTAAGTCCATTTGAAGTTGTCTCAATCTGTAATAATGACAATATGTAAACCAAGAAAAATTTGGATACATCAAAGTCACTCAAAATTCTGAGTCCCAAATGAGGTCTTGCTTTGAGATTTGCATTGGAGATTCTACATAAGAGATGCTAAACTTTTTCTTGACTAAATGTTAACCTGTTTCCTTCTTTTTGAATGTGATCCAAGTTTGAATAAACCTATTCTTTGTCTTCAAGAGAAGTCTGGTCAGTAGTTTTTTGGGCTAGATAATTTGGGTGAGACTGGCAGACTTGTGAAGCTACTGCTGTAGAAAACTAAATTGAGACATAATGGCACTTACACAGAATAATTTTTGCGAAGTTTTAAAGCATGGCATGATAACATGGAGCTCATAATTCATCACTTTATACTTCCCCTGGAGTCCATGGAAATTTTCCTCTTGAAGTTTTAATGCCCAAGCAACCCGGCTAACACAAATGAAATTTCTGAGAGACCTATTAAAAAATTAGAGACAATTATAAAATGACTGCTTTATGTATGGAAGTGGATTCTTTGGAATTTGAAACTTGTAGAAAGGAAACACACATCAATATATTTTGCTTTTGCAGGCTTAGTGTATTCTTAGCATGTTATTTCACAAAACCTTAATATTTTTGAATGCAGGTAATGAATTTGGACATCCAGAATGGCTTGACTTCCCCAGAATAGGGAATAATGAGAGCTACCACTATGCCAGACGACAGTTTAATCTTACTGAGGATGATCTTCTTCGCTATAAATTCCTAAATGCCTTTGATAGAGATATGAATAAATTGGAGGAAAGATTTGGCTGGCTTGCATCTCCCCAGGTAAGCTGTATGTACAAAATGATAAGTTTTAGTCACCAGTTGGGTACATGTGTGGAGTAACAACACTTTCAAATTTGCATGCTGAAATTTCAAACAGCGCTTTATTATGCGCTGTGTAATACCTCACCATATATTTCAAGTTGTCAAAATATGGCACTGAAATATCTTCCACAGATAATAGAAACCTGAAACAGTCTCCTTTTAGCTTCATAACAAGGTCTTTTCCTATTATTTTCCCTGTTTTTATTCAGTAACTGTGGATTGCATAAAGCAGACTATAAAATTGTCTGTAATCCAATCCAAGGATTGCTTTGCAAAAGTATAAGTTGTTCTGACATTACACTTTATAAAAGTAATTACTCCATTTCTGAGGAAAAACTTTCAGCAAAGTCTGGTGTAAGTTATAGTCTCCTAGTCATCAACCTGCTGCTTCTGCATTTGCATTTTTTACACTTGTATCACGCTGTAATTTTTATGAAAGATCAATTGTTATAATTTCTCAGTGTTTAATTATTTTATTCTAGCCCACTTTAAAGAATAATACACTTTAAAGATTTTTTATTTGATGCCTAGTTATTTATTAATGGCTTTAGCAAATAAAACAAAGTGTGCACAGCCATTTATTGTGGCTTATCAAAGCCATTTCTCACACAGATTGCTAAAAACACACCAAAAAAATCATATTGAGTGCTTAATTTTCTGAATTAATACTATATGTGATGCAGATCCCCATAACAAATAGGCTGAAGATTTCATTTGACAAAAGGAATCCATTTATTACTAAAGCAAAGTATGATGAAAAGACCATGTTACCAATCTTTGAACAAGAATTTTTCAAGTGCTCTGTGCTGAACAGGCTTCTACCTCTGTAATTTTATGTTGTGTTGCCTTGTGAAAAGTAAGCTACAGCTTAGTAATCAAAAATTTTGTATGAAATTTCATAGATAAGCAATTTCAGTTTGCACATTTTAATGCCTTCAGTTCTATTCCTTGAATATTTACCTGTATTACTTGAAATGAGGTACAGAAGCAGTGGGGTTTTGCTTGGTTTTTTTTTGTTTTTTTTTTTTTTAATTCATTAGAAATTAAATCTTTTTAAAGTGTTGATTTTTTTTCTTTTCCCCTTAGGCCTATGTGAGTGAAAAGCATGAATCCAATAAGGTCATAGCATTTGAGAGAGCAGGTCTTATTTTCATTTTCAACTTCCATCCATACCAAAGTTATGTGGACTACAGAGTGGGTATTGAAACTCCAGGAAAATATCCTTTTCTTTACTGTTCTGTTTGTGAGGAAAAGTTTTAGAAATTGAAAGCTGATTTTATGTCTTTTTTTCCTAATATGAATCCTACCTGTAGTTAAAAGGTAAGAAATCACTAATTTGTCACCAATATAGTATTCTTTTAATTCTTTTTGTACATCAGAAAAATAATTATAAATTACTCTTCTTCATGAGAGAGAATTTTGTTGAAAGCAAAAGTAAAAAAATGCAATTTAAAGACTTGTGAAGCTGTTTTTTGGAATTCTGTTGAGGAATGAGAAAGCAAGTAACTCCCACTTCTTAAATATTTAAATTCTTAAATATCCTACCACAGTGGGATAATGCTGCATGAATTCACACAGGAATGTGCATTAGTGCAAGCCTTCATCAGGCAGTTTGTATTTGTTCATTTGTACTTTAAAACTTGAGTGGACTGAGAATGTGCTCTTAGGTCAGCTGAGCTGTAAATGATTACTCGAGTAATTGACTGATTTTGCATTTGTGTCCAAATTCTTGGTGGCTCCAGAAATTCATGCTGATTTTCTGGGGGAGTTTTAGTTGCCCAAATTCAGTTTCTTTCAAGTCCTTTGACAGACGCAGCCTAGTGTGTGACTGTTGCTGTGTCAGGTTAAAGCGCTGCAGTTCCAATTTTAGCCTCCTGCTTATTTATCAGCCATTCCGGGTAATTCCATGTTTCAGTTGCTTTAGTTCAATCATGGAATTTCCTGTCCTGAGGATCCCAGAGCTGTGCACAGTACTCTGTGGGAGGGGGAGCTCACCAGAGAGAATTGTAAGGAGCTATTTAATATCTAGAGGCATTTCCTTATCTATTTTCTTTAAATACTTCGGGGTGTTTTAATGTTGGCTAAGGTTTCTCCCTAACTCTTCTTCTGCACTTAGAACCATGAATTTTATGTATAGTTTTTTTAATGGATCCTTTTAACCTAAGACTTCAATAAATGATGTCCTATTATTAGGACATATGGTAACATTATATTAAATGTTCAGAACAATTTCTCCACTTGAAAAGGAGTTATTTATGATCCTTTTGAAATGTAGATGTGCAGAGGAAGTACCTAAAAGCAAAAGTTTGTTGTTGTTCTGTTTCTTTCTTTTAATAAATTAATGGATTTTTAATTTGATATCCTTTGCTGTTATAAGTCGGAAGGGACAAACTGCAATAATGTATTGATCAAATTGTTTTAATTAAACATTTTTCTGAATTATATTGGGAATTGTGGGAAATGGGATGATCCTTTCAATACTTAGGTTTAAGTTTGTTTTGTGCATTGAGCTAGATGAATGACTGCACCTAACACGTCATTGAATGTGCCTTTATAAAATCAATGGCTTTGGTCTATCCATATATTGCAGTGATATATATCTCTAAGCTGGTTTTTATACAGCTTCTCAGATATGTTACCAGCTATGTTGAAAGGTACAGAGTTTCCTGCCTGGCCTGCATTTTTGTAGGCATTCCTCTGTTCTGAACTCACTGAAAATGTCATTCGTCTTGCAACTCTTCTGTATGCAGGCTGTTGGCATAACAATTCCAGTTCTGCTTTTATATGGGAAGGTGTAGTCAGTAGATATTTCAATTCTGCTGGTCCCACCTGCTTTGGAAAGTCTTTCTGTGGGCATTCAGCTAGTCCATGTCTGTATGAGAAGTCACAGTTTGTGGTCAGTTTTTCCTTCCTCCTTATACTTCAGTCTTCTCTCTTGACTTATTTTCCTTGCTCTGTTCTACAATTTCTTCTTGTAAGATACTGTACTTTGGTGTGAGGTATTCAAGGAATGAGACCTTAATTTTATATGTCAGCATGAGAATCTGTGAATGTTGAGCAGTATAAATTGATACTGGCTTATCTGTATTTTGACATTTCGTGTTGTCATGTACTGCTCAAGCAGAAAAAAGATGTCATGGGAAAGAGTGCTTTCTTTGTTTCACATATTGCTCTTTTTGCATAGCAGGTATCAAAGCATTATAGTCCCAGGGTGATTGAATAGCAGAGTGGCATGAATTTAGGGTTCATAAGGACATTCAGGTACTCATCTCTTTGCCCTGGCGACCAGTGACAGGACCTGAGGGGATGGTATGAAGCTGTGCCAGGTTTAGGTTAGATATTAGGAAAGGTTCTTTCCCCAGAGGGTGGTTGGGCACTGGAACAGGCTCCCCCAAGGCAGTGGTCACAGCACCAAATGTGACAGAGATCAGGAGCATTTGGACAGTGCTTTCAGGCACATGTGATTCTTGAGGCTGTCCTGTGCTGGCCCAGGAGTTAGACTTGGATCGTGGTGGCTCTCTTCCAACTCAGGATGTTCTGTGGTTTGAAGCCAGAGTCATCCATAAGCAAATGGCTAGATTTAACCTAAGGAATCACAGATATTGTCATCAAAATGCTGCAAAAATATACTTTTTTGTAAAAATCCCCACATTAATTCAGGCTCTCTGACATTTACAATGTGCATCTAGAGCTTCTAATGAGCAAGTAAGGTCATTTAAATGAGTCACTGGCATGTGATTGCTGAAGGCAAAGGCGCCCCTTTGAAGTGTGCTTGTGTAACTGTCCCTGCCTGGTAGAATCCTGGCAGGCTGAGACAAAGGACTTAATTTAGGATCAGTCAAATGCTAAATTCCATCAAGGTGGTTGATACTTAAGGTTAATAGGTGTGAATAAGAAATACAGCATACTAATGTGGGAATGCCTCTTTGATCTGCATGGGAGAAGAAAGAGGTTTGCAGCACTGTGAGTGTGTGTAAGTATCAGAGTGGCATATCCTATTGCCCAATTTCTGAGTCATTATGTGAAGGAAAAAGAAAAACATTTCTGTGCTTATACTGGAATTTTACTTCATAAATTATGCTCTTTCAGGAGCCTTTTCATGAGAAAAGAAGCTTGAACTAACAAATTATTTCTGCCTAATTTGCTTCAGTCTGGAGCTAGATGAACAATCAGCATCTAGGTCAGCTGTCTCTAGTTTTCTGATTGGAGATAAAACTTTGAATGTTAATGGAGAAACCATTCATAAGTTTCCAATTTTGTTTTTACTACTGCCTAGGCTTTTCTGTAGGATAGTGCTTGGATTTCAAGGCCAGTCTGCAGTGAAAATTCAATATGGAAACCTTCTTTCCTATATTCAAAAGGAACATGGCTGAAAGGATGGAAAACAAACAGGAAAGGGGCTTAAAGATTTCAGAAAGAACTCCTTTTCCTTCCTTAAGATTCCACACTTGATTTGGTTAAATAATTTTTCCCCTGTGTTGGAAGTCTCATTAAACTATAGTGTGTGTGTGTATCTCCCTATTTTTTAACAAGGTTTGTTATCTTGGCTCCAAAGTAAATCTGCATTTTATATTTATAATCACCAACCAGCATAAATTGACATATCTGTAAATTTTCATGTGGTTTAAACAAAAATCATATTTGGCAGAAGTTAAAAAGGACAGTGTCCCCCCTCCCTCTCTGTACTTGTGCTTAAATGGCTTCACCTGCCATTGAAATGGCCTGAGCTGAATTTTATCAGGCCAAAGTGATCAACTTCATTACAAAATTTGGCCAAATACTCTCCATATGTTTTTTGTCACTCATAGGTTGAATCCTTAGACTTCAAAATTAGCAGTGTGTGGAGAGGAGCAAAAGTGAGACCCTTCATCCTGTAATTATGCTAGTTTTTTTTTTAGTAAAATTCAAGAATTATGAAAAGGAAAAATGGTCTCACCACTTAAGACTCTATCACCCCCACAAGCACCACTTGGTTTCTTTCATCAGCAGTAAGTGTTGGAACAAAGTACAAATTTTTCTATTTTATGATTTGCATTTACTTTGTAAAGTTTCAACTTTATTTTATCTTTTATTTTTTGCTAAATCTATTTGATTCCTTTTAAGTATCTAGAGGTATTCCAACTCATTGCTACACTTTGTTAAATAATTCACCCCATTTTAACAACTGCAGTCAGAATATTTCTCTTAAAAAGCCTTCTCTTACAATATATTCTTTCTTTTGTTCCTCTGTGCTATAATAATTCCAGCTCTTTTCCAGAAGACTCAGAGGAGTTGTGGGGTTTTTTTCTGTAAAATTACATGCTTTCCTGATTGACACTTGATCAGATTCTGACAGACTGTAAAATATTGCTAAATACCAATTGATTTTGATGGTCACAATTACATTACTTCTTAAATGCAATTCAAATGCGTTGTTTTGTTTAGTGGTACATTTTTAGTCTAGTTCATCACCTGAAGTGCTGTGCATATCTGCTTATCACTCATGGCAGATTGCAGAAGTTACTGGGAGGTGCTTGCTGTAAGAGGAGTCACTGCTAAATTAAATTTTCAGTTCAAAATTTCATATGAATTCTATATGTTCTGCTTGTTTTTCCACTCTTTTCTTAGATTTTGGTATGATTTTTGTTGAATATATCAGCATGCTTCCATTACTGCATAACTTCCACTATTAATTCTTCTAGATTTTTTGCTTTGATTTATTTTCTGGGGTAATTGGCATAGTTCCTTAACAATTGCCTTCAAGTATAAAATCCTTCTTGATTCTGATGCTGGAGAATATGGAGGGCATCAAAGGCTGGACCACAGAACAGAGTACTTCTCTGAGCAATATCCTCACAATTATCGACCTAATTCAATTATGGTAAGTAGATTGTTTGGGGCTTTGTTTGTTTTGTTTTCATTTTACTTTCATCTCTGTAGGTTTTGCAATTCTTTGGACAAATATGGAGTCTCTTCTGTTTGGGGAAGGGGATATTTTAAATTTATTTTCTGAAATTAACCTTTATCTAAATACAGTATAGATAACATTATGATTTGGTTATAACCAAGAATATTAACAAATTTTTCTGTTTAAACCTTGTTCTTATATTTCCATGCACTTTTGCAGTGTCTGGCATGCTGTGTTCCTTGCCAACATGCATGGAAACATACTAACATGCTTTTGAGCTGCTCTCCTTAATATTATAATTTCCTTTATTTTCACTTTATTTCAGTCAAGAGACTGCATCTTCATGCTTGCTTTGTTTAAAGCTCTCCAGAAACTGAATCTTCCTTTTCTGTCTTAAAATCATGTACTTAACTCTACAAACAAGAATTAGAGTCAATCATGTGTTTGCCAACTGGTTTTTTCCTCCCCAGTTTACAGAAAAACTTTGCAAAATGGAACAGGATTTCTCTGAAATCAAGAATTTCAAAGATTTCCATTCCTAGAGTGGTATGAATGAATAATGGATAAAGAGTTTTCCACAAATCACCTGAGATGAATTGGGAGACATATCCTTGCATACAATTTCTGCTAGCTGAGGTGGTCACTAAAAAACTCTACCTTCCTTAATTGCTCTTGAAATCAGAATCACAAGTAGGAATTTTAAAATGTTATTTTCACTATTCTTTATGTATATGTGTACATGTGCACATGTTTCCCTTTCGTTCTGTATCCATTCACATCTGTGTATATGCTCATAAGCACAAGAAAATAAGATTCAGAAAGGCTGGGAATTAAGAGTTCACTGAAAAAATTCTGAAATAATTTATATTGCTGATTAGATTGTTATACCCAGTGCATTTCTGTGGGTGAATGGTATGTTTCTCTATGCACAGGTATATTGGTCCACATGAACACCTGCAAATAAATTACTTTTTTAACCTTAAGGGCCTGCAAAAATGGAGCATCTGCACTGATTTTTGTGGGCCACTCCCCTTCCATGGTTGAACAGAATATGAATTTCTAGTGTCACATCTTAACTTTTCTCATGAGATCTAAACTGCTGAGAATTATTTTCACTTCTAACCTCTGTCTCTCTTTCTTTCATTGTATCCAGAGTATTGGCATTTCTTTCATTTGCATGATTTAAAATATTTTCTTTACATGAAAGAATTTTTGTGCTTGGTGTAAAGGATCTTAGGAATGGGTTTTGGGTTTGGGTTTTTTTTTTTTTTTAAGTACTTGCATGTGATAGTGCCTTCATAGTGTGGGTAAGTATTTGTGCTAATTTGAAATGAAAGGTCTAAGGTTTCATTCCTGAAGGTTATGTAGCAAATTATTGCTTCCAGAGTTCTTGCTTCGTGTGCCCAATTCAAGTACATTGCCTGGGTGATTGGAGAGCATCTTAATTATCTATCACTAACTTAACTTTTGCAAGCCAATTAACTGTGATTTGGAATGTGTATTTCACATTTAGTTCATTAGATGGTGAGTGCAAGCCTGCCAAGCCAGAAACAAGCGTGGCAGAACGTGAAGCTGTGGTTTGCTAGGAGTATGTGCAAGATAAGGCATGTGGCAAACACTGCAGCAAATGCACTTTTGCACCAAAAGCTGTGGCATGGCAATGGCACTTGTAGGTCAGAGAGAAACCCAGATAAACCATTTCTCTTGTGTCCTTTGCCACCCAATTCACAGAGCAGCTCCAGCCAACCCCCCAGAGGATGCCTCTTGCACCAAATAAAGGTAAAGTACCAGTGAAAGGACACCATGTAATAGTGATTGAGGAAAAACATCTGGAAAACCTAAATTCAGCAATTAGGTATTCATGTAAGAACTAACAGAAGTTACAGTAAAGGCCTCCAGCTGCTATTTTGCAGTAAAACAATGTTTTATTTCAAATAGCAATTTATATCCAGGTTATTGGGTTGGTTTTCCTGCTTAGGAGTTTCTTTAGTCTTAATTGCAGTTTAGTCTTAGTCGCAGTTACCAACTCAGTCTTCCCACCAAATTTCTTTTCAAGTAACATATGATGCCACCTCAAACTCATGAAAGTTCTTTTCCTGTTGTTTAATAATTATTCCTGTTGTTTAATAATAATTCATAATCCATGAGACTTGAGTTGCTTGTTTCAAAAGTTCTAGTTTCTCCTCCACTACAAACTTTGAAGGAGTGATTTTTTAATGAGAGATGCACCTTCCTTAAGGTGTGTGGGTAAACATTGTCAGTCAAACATACCCAGAGGGTTGTGACAAAATGAAATCACATGCAATAATTCTGCTTCTCAAATCAGGCTTTAATAGCACACAAATGTGGTACAAAAATAGAAGATTAAATGTGACATGATTCATCCTAAAAAATCATCTAATAAAAGAAATATTCAAGGTGGCATATCAAAATGAGAAGAAGGGAGATATGAAATTCCTGGAGCAAAGAATCCTGGAAGAAGATGAAGCTTTGTAAGCACTGCTGAGCATTTCACTGTCCAATTTTCAGGCTTGTTTAGTAAAGCTCTTAGAGGGCCAGAATTCAAAATCATCAGACACACCTTGTAAACTTCATAGAAAATGCACAGAAATGCCCTTTGTAGTATGACTTTTTAAATAACTGTACTAATTTTTCCATTTCACTGCTTTTTCTATAATGGATTGTTAACAAATATATGAAATATACGTAACATTCCATGTAATCAAACTTTCTAACAAAAAGCTGTGAACCATTTTGTCACTGTAGGAATAGATTTGTTTTACCCCTTTAGCTTCATTTCTATTTACAACTCCACTCTGGTATTCTCATAGAAGTCTTTTTGGAGGTATGTTTATGTGTGCTTTTTGGATAAACCTTTAGTCTTGCTTATGTTTCATCATCTCTTGGCAAGATGTAAATTAAGTGGTGTACACACATCTCAACCCTTGTGCCCCTTTTTGGATTAATTCATTTGCTGGTACCTAACTTGGCCTTTGTGGTTGGATGTGAAACTTAGATTTGGGGCAGGGGGAAGAAAAAGTGTAATTTTTTAATAGTGTATTACTCAGAATATCTTGTTGACCTTTTCTAAGGTATCCAACTCAATTGAATTTTGCTGTAGGAAAGAACCAGCTGTCAATAAGTGTCCTAGCAAATTTTTTGTACCACACCAAAAGTTGGGTTTATATGGAAATGGAGGGGTTATACTTTCCCACTTCATGCACCAACAGAAACTGATTAATAAGCAGGCTAAGTGGGATATTACAGAGGATATTGTGTCATTGGAAAAATAGTATATGATTTATTGTGAAATATAATTGCTTAACATGTTTTGACTTTTATAGATGTACTTTTTCTGTAGTTCATTCCAATTAGTTAAAAAATAAATAGATGTCAGAGTATTCCTTTCCCCCTGTCCCCAGTGCTGCCTTTTCTGTTTCTCTGTTTTTGGCATTCAGTGATAAATCTTTTCACATTAAATTAAGGTGAAATTATATAGTTTATTTTAAGAATATCCTTATTACAGGCTTGAGCTTTTAACCTTGACCTTAATGTATATTATTCAGTGTCAAAGTGCAACTTGCTGCTTCCTTAAGTCTGTGGACCAATTAAGATACTCCCATAGATGGAAATGATCTAAAAGCATTTAGTGACCTTAGCTTTGAAAATACTCATTCAAATAGCTTTCATTATAACAATTTATGTATTGAATTTTAAGTGACTGATGTAATCTTTAACTGTTTTCTCCCCTGATATGCAGATAGACAGACTAAATGAAAGAATGTTTGTAGTTGGAAACTTAACTGTTCGAACTAGATGAATCAATCAGAATTTAATGCCACAAAGGTCTTTTTGTTTTTTAAATCTTGATGATTAAGACTTCTGAATTCATTTGTTCACCTTCATTGATTGTTTGACTTCTTAAAACCACCAGCAAATGTAATGTGAAGTTACTCTGTTATTAATTTTGTTTCATCCTATCTTTGTCTTCAGAGTACTTGTTTTTCAGGGGTTTTTGCTGTCTTAAAGTACTTTTTCTCAACCTGAAAAAAGAGTGCAGAAGGTAATAGAGAAGAAATTTTGGGACACACCCTTTGTGGTTTATCGACTTTTTTGCTTAAATGGAGCAAGACAATCTAAGAAATTATTTTCTGCATGTTAATGCTGTGTAGTTGTAAATTGAAAAACAAATTGCAAGGCAGAACTTCACATTATTTTAAGCACACGTAGTTTGTCATGTGCAAAATCTACCAAAATGAAAACCAAAATGTGTGAGGTTTTGTATAATAAATTATAGTCTGAAAGGAAGCGCTATCACCTATTTTATTCTTGGATGGTTAATTATATTCTCAGAATAGTGTCCATGTGTGAAAATTAGTGGCCATACAGAGACAGGAGATTGTCTAAAGTCCTCATTTTAATTAAAAGTTTTGGATGATGTTGGCACAGGCTCTTGTGACATTGCCTTCTGCATCTACCAGCTGCAATATGTGCTACGGAGTATTTTTCTGCAGTGCCTGATCTAGCTCTGAGTTCTAGTAATTCTCCCATCTGTTGCAAAATGACCTTGAAATTATTTTTAGGGCTTGGTGTTTTCCAATCCTGAAAGTCAGAGGAAGAGCAGTTCATTGCAGTTCCAGCCAATTTTGGTTGTGCTTGCACCTGGTACTGAATTAGTCTGACAGATCTGAAAGTAGCAGTTGTCATTTGTAGAACCTCTTGCTTGTGGGTTTTTAGATATATTTGGAGATTGCTGTGTATTTTAGTCCTCTTCTCAAATATATAAAGTAGTATTTCTGCCTGTAGCTGCTGCTGTTTACAGGTGCTTCCTACATGTGGTAATCCTATACTCTTAATTCTTTAAATCTCTTATTTTCCTAGAAATGTTCTGGATATTCAAAGAAAAAAAAATAAAGTATAAGGAGTAAGAATTTGGTTGAAAACATCTTACAATCCTGGCCAGTGGTAGTACCAGTTGTTTTTGACCTGTTTGTGAGATAGCCAGCATGAATAGACTATGATCTTGATAGTTGGTGGGCAAGAGGTTGATGATTAAAAATAATTAAATTTTTTTTGTCTCTTTACTAGTTATACTGTTTTAGTGCCAGAAGCCTTGATCTGTATGGGGCTTGCCCAGTTTCAGACAGTGTAGCTGCCTCGTATGGACATGCGGTATAAAAAGGTCAAAAGTGCCAACAAAATCCCATTTTGTATTTGCCTTATGAACAAGATTCCCCACCATGCTCTCTGCTCGCACGTCTGTTGGTGAAGTAACAGCAGTTACTCCATTCCTGCCAAACTGAGAATAAAGACTTTTGCTGATATTTTATGAGTAAACTTTTGAAAGTTAACTTTGTCAAAAACTGTCTTTGCAGCTGAGTCATGCTGTCTCAAATAGATTGGATGCTTTCCAATCCCCATGTTACACTCTTCTGTCAGAAAAGAACCTTCCTGTGTGTGTTTTTAGGTGTCTTGGCTTCCTAAAATAGTGGAGTTGGTGTGAACCTTAGAGGGCTCGAGATTGTAAGTTAATAATTGGTACAGAGGGACAATTCACTGAGATCCTGATGACCCTCTCTGACCTCAGAGCTCACTCTGCTTCCAGCAGGGACTTTGGGTCTCCTGAGGCCCTTCCCAACATGGGTGAGCCTGCAGGGAAGGAAGTGCCTGGAAAGGATGTTCAGGACGAGCAGAAAGCTTGGAACACAAGAGAGACTCTGAGGGTGATTTGACTGATGTGGATAAGCTATGAATGAATTCTCTTTAGTGTTCTGTTCTTTGGGTTTTCACTTCTGTCCATGTTCATCAAGTGAGCCTTGGGAAATGGTGAAGGAGACATGAATGGGATAAAAATTGTGATCAGAAAAAGCAGGGTAAAAGAACAGAGATCACTAGAACTGAAGCTGGTAATTGAAAGTAAAATTCAGCAGGAGTATATGAAAGAATATACTTCTGTGACACTCTTCCTAGGATATGGAAAAAGTAAAAAAATTACATATCCCTTATAGTGTTTTTTGCTGCAGAATACCTAGGTTTCCTGTAATGGTTTTTATCAGGAAGCCTCTATGTATTTTTATACGCTTGTCTATTTATAGATAGATATATATATCTCAGGCTGCATACTATATATATAAAATGAAGACGAGAGGAAGGTGATTCTGCAAATCTGTAGGTAAGGAAAAAAAACAAAAAGGCAGGTCCCTTGACAAAGGGAAGACTCAAAACTGAGATGGATAATATGGACAATACAGGAGTATTCAGTGCCTTTTTGGTTTGTTGTTTGTTGGGTTTTTTTTCTCAGATTCCAAGGGCGAAGTCTGCTTTCAGATGCTTTTGTGTGATGGTGCACTACTGAAAATGAAGTAGCAGAGCAGTAGGTTAAAGAGGCTGTGTATAAGTGGGGTACACCCCGAGGCTTGGATGATTTCAGTGATGTGATTGCAAGGCTGGTGATTATTATCTGAGAAAAATCATAGTGGTCAGGGCAAATTTCTGACAGCTGAACCAAGGCTGAAGAGGAAGGCTGAGGGGTCTGTAGGGCAATTGCTGCAGAAGAAAAGAACCACCTCCTCTTGCAATCTGTGCCCAAGCAAGTGGGTTACATGAGATGGGTCAGTCAGAAAGCCAGCCTGGATTTAGCAAAGTCAGAGCATGCATGGTCAGCCTGATTGCTTTCTTGATGAAATGAGTCAAGCTGTGTGTCAAGGTTGCTCCAGTCAGTTCAGTCAACTTTCAGCCTTGTCTCCTCAGCATTCCTGCCTAGGAGCTGAAGAACTACAGGGAAAATAAGGTTGTTATGTGGGTTAAAAGCTGGTTTGGCCACTGCTGTCTGAGCAATCAGAGGCTCTGTGTGCATCTCTTGACTGGAATCAAGGAGAGAGTCTTATGAATTGTGAGGGAACTGATCCTGTTTGGAGTCTGGAGCAGTGACCCGCATGATGGGACAGAGCACAGTAGTAGATGACCCTGAATTGGAGTGAATCATTGGTCAACTGAATGTTCAGGGTCCAATCCAGACACATCTGGAGCTAAGGATTATTCATACATTTATACATTTGATTATCCATACATTTGTATATTTGAAAGTGTCTGGATTCAAAAATACAATGAAATGCTTGCATTTCATCTTATCCTGTCAGCAATGGATTCCTGACTTTTTTAGTTATGTCACTTAATGGCAGATTGAAGCATATGCTTGGAGCACAGTTGACTTGGTACAAGGGCTTGAAACAGTCAGTACACTCAGGAAAAAAAATTATTTTCTCTAAGTTAAGGGGGATATGTTACTACAAGAGTGGTAATTCAGGTGAGAGGTGCTGCAAGAAAAGGAATAATACTGGAGTAAAAAGGCTGAGGAAGTTTTTTGGTTCAGGCTGTCAGAAGGAGGAGTGGAGTGAGAAATCTGGTCTGGAAACCCTGCTGGGATCCTGGGCAGATAATCTTCCAGTTTTCACTTTATCTCAGGAAAGAAAAGTGATCTTTCCAACCTCTCTGGTCACATTTTTCTTCCTCAGTCCATCACACAATGTCCTGTGTTCTGTTTGTTTAAACGGCTGATAAAGCCAGAGTACATAGAATATAGTATTTCTGGAAATGTTGTTAGGCTGGGAAAAAGGAATAATAATAATTCTTATATACCTATAATACCTTTATATTTGTAATGAGTAGTATCTAATAGTTGTGTCATATTTTTCCCTTTAAAAAATTGTACACCACTGGAATGAAAAACTAATAATCTTATTTGTAATTATATGCTTAATCAATATTTTTGCATTGTTCATGCCTTAATTGTTGCTTTTTGTAACAAATAGCCTCAGAGGTGGTTACATGACCAATGAAATAAGATTAGGAGATAGAGCCTTATGTGGCTTTTCTATGATTTAGCAAGTAGCCCACCAAGATAAAAAAACTCTAAAAAAGTGTTTAATTTCCCTAGGTAAGGAAAAAACAAGCGACTAAAGTAATAAGCTGGCAGATACAGCTCTTGATGGCAAATGGAAAAGATCTGTCATTAGTTTAAATATAATCATCTGTGCAAGTTCTGAAATTCTGCTTAAACCAGTTTTAAAGTTCTGGTTGTCAAATGAGTAGTTGGAGTTGGATGATCCTCAGTGCTCTCAGATTCTCTGCTGATGTAAATTGACTTTAAAGGAATTGGGCTAATTTACTCCTCCTAGGATCTGACACATTATTGATCACAATATAATTGAGGATTGCCGTGTCCTGCATTAACATAATTTTTTTTCCCCATAACTGAAGTAACATTTTACAAATTCTTTTTTAGAAAACTTATTTCTGTTTGTTCCCTCTCCCTTCTCACTTCATCATCCAAAGCCAGAGCGCTGAATTTCTGAGTACACAACTTCAGAATCTCTCCTTTATCTATATGTTTTGAGGTAGTTGACTTCATTAAGTATTTCCTCTCCTGCACCGGTTTATAGAAGCTATTTATCACTGAAACCTTAGGGGAAATCATTATGTTCGCTGCCTTTCAAGAAGCATTGGACACTGCTCTGTCTGATTCAATGAAGATCAGCTATTTTCCTTTTTTTTCTCCTTTTCCTAAAGCTCTTTGCTTTATTGCTTTATTCTGTTCTGAAAACAATGAAAGCCTTTCGTGCCATCAGGCTCTCGTTAGCAGATAACGCAGTTGAAATTGCAGAATATTAGACATTCCACAGGGATGAAGAATAGTCTAAAAGAGGACATTGTCAGAATGAAACCAATAATCTTCAATCTTGTGTTACCTTTTATAATTGCATTTTTATTGACTTGTTCAGAAAATACATTCATAGACCTGACAATTGATGGAGTACCGTGTATCAAGGTAATTGGTAGATACCACATATCAGTCTTGTTTTCTGATTGTGACTCTGCTCAGCTTGGAAGGAATGTCATGTAAAATACATTGCCACGAGTTCTTTTGTGATCTATGAGGAGTCTTTTGATTATGTGTCTTTGGATATTTTTGTGGTATTCATGGAAAAAAGGGAAGAAAAGTGCAATCATTTAAATGGTTAATTTTGCTTCTGTCCACTTTTGAGAGGGAGTTTTATTGCTCAGCCACTGACATTCCATAGGTGCCAAGTGTGAAGAATGTGCTGCTGTGTCATATTGCTGATATTTACCTGTATGAAATGACATCACAGGGCTTTGGACAACTTTAATTCGCAGTAAAAGAGTTGCAGAACTTTGTCATTTATCACTGGCCCATCTGTTGACCTGGCTGTTCTCAGGTTTTTGAAACTGGTCATTGTAAGTCATATGAGGCCCTCTCCTGGTAGTCACCTAAAATATATCACTATAAGCTGTTAAAAGAAAAATAGAAAAGAGATTGTAATGAGGCTGCCTTTAAAATTTTTATCTTGCGTAATTCCAATGCTAGGGACTAAGCAGTCGATAATCATTCTTTAAATATGATATTTATACCCACAGCAGTGCCCAAATGACAGATTTTTAACAGTTAAAATATGGGGGGGGGGGGTTCCATATGCTGTTTTATAGAAATTGTATCCTGTAAGTTTTCTGGGTTTTTCAGCTGTTTTTGTTCTTGTCACGTTTTTCCTAGGTGTACATTCCAAGCAGAGTTGCTCTTGTGCTTCACAACGTGGACATCCCAAAGTGAAGTTCTCTGTGAGCACCACAGAAGAAGCAAGTCACAAAGAAGTGCTGATACACTGTACTAGTACTAAGTATAACAAAACTTGCTCTAAGGAGGCTTTCTGAGGCTGAGTATAGTAATAGTAGGTGTTTAAAATGTAAGATTAATATTCACATATAAGTGCAGAGCTCTTGACTTGCTAGACCCTCTTTTGAGGAAGCTTTACAAAGAGGCAGAAAGGAAAATGTTGGGTTTGTAGTTCTAGTAGTACAAAATTACACTTAAGGTGTTGCAAAGCAGCAGGTATTCTCAATTAAATTGTTGTTTACAGAATTTTATCAGGAATGGTAAGAGTGATCCTGCTCCAAAGTTTGTAATTTCTTATAATTCTCATTTTGATAGTGAATTCAAATATTCATTATGTATTAATGCTTCTTACTAAAAGTAAGTAGTTTGCTTAAATGAAACAGAAGTTTTTGGCTAAAAGGCAGCCTTAATGGTTTGTGGGACCTAATTTGAGGCTCCTCTTCTTCAATGAAGTCTAACATGGAATTAGAAATGCTTATCCAAATGGATAAGAAGGTCCTCTGAGAGTCTTGTACTTTGCTATGTTTTATTTAATTACAAATGCACAAAAATGCTGGGCAGCAAAACGAGCAGGCCGATTGAGTGGGGGCCTGCTGATGCTGTTGTGTGTGCTGGTTGTCTGCTCCCACCCAAATCACTGAGTCTGAGCATCTCACTTGCTGGAGATGGACAAAAATGACACAACTGTTTTATCTAGATCACTAAAATGTTCAGTGAGAAGCATGTTTTGGTCTTAATGCAACAATACCACACTGGAAGAGGTACTTAAAGTGCAATTCTTCCCACTGCATTTATTTCACTAACATCAGGACCTTGCAATACTGATTTCACTACTTGCAGAAGCTGCCTTTCAGCTTGGAACATGATGATGTTCTTGCACTTTTATAACTTTTGAAACATTGCTTCTCGTGAAGAAGCAGTCTCAAAATTCAGTGATCAAACTAAGGTGGTTCTTTTTGATTAAAATTAAGATAGTTAATTATTGGAGTGCTGCTAAGATAATTCAAGTGAGTTTATTCAATAAGCTACAACTTTTTTGTAAAGAGTAAGATTTTGTATATTTGAAAATGTATTGCAGATTATTCTGGAAAATTAATACCAAATTAATGAGACATGCTTTATTTTGTTCCATTTATTTAAAAACATATTTGAATTGGTTCTGAAATGAATGTCTTTTGTACCAATCTGAATTTTCTAACTTTTAAAGTAGCCAAAGAGGAAGATGTCCGTGACCATTTCCAAGTCATAATTTTACCCAGTTTCCTTTGTGAACCATTGTGTAAACTACTGAATAGTTGGTGCCAACACTGACAATCTATTCACAGTTCTTGGAATGCTTACTTGTGGCTTACTTCTTAAGCAAAACAAGGGGTGGAATAATGCAGCATGATGGAAAACAGTCTTTTGCAGAGTTCACACTGAAAGGGCTTTGTGAACATCCCCAGTCTGATATGTTCTGTGTGGCAGAGAATGTTATATTGCAGTTGAGTACCACAGGATCATGCTTCATTTTCCTCTACACCTGTTTGATCATTGTTTGCTTGTGGGCTAATAAAAGCATTCCTGTTACGCTATGACTTTAAATAAAATATACTGAACTGTTTTAGCAACTGGAACTGATTATCTTTTTTTTTTTCCCCAGATTGTTTTTCTTCTAATACAGAGCAACTTCTAAAACGTGTTATATTTACAATGTATTGCTCTAATATGTTTTATAGGGTGGTTTGTTTCTTTTTTTAATTTTATTTTGCTGGCACAATTCCAGGTTTCAAAATGTAATGGCAAGCGTCTGTGTCAAACCTTTCTTCAAGCGAAGGAATAAATGTATGATGTGAAGTATAAACTGTAAAATCACATGCAAAATAAACTCTGAGGAGGAGAAAACAAATGCATATATGGTTTCATTCCTTGCATTGTAAAATGATTTTACAGCAGTCTTAACACTGAAAGACAGATTAGATTTTTGCTCCCTCCTAAAATCAGGGACTTGTCTTGGTCAGAAGCATTCATAATGAGATTGGTAGAATATTTGACATATGCATATTTTCTTTAACATAATGGTAGATTAATAAAAATGAACGAAAAAAATGTAAGATGAACATGTAAACACAGAAAGCAGAATAATTACAGCTTTTTGGAGCCCACCTCTGCATTTTAATGGTGAGTGTGCTATTGCCTGTCTTGCAAGACTGGGGAATTTTCCCTTTCAATGCCCATGGAAAGCCAATTTCTTCCTCCTGATCTTTGAATATTGATGGATTATGAAGAGAAATTAATATTTCACTTTTCTTCTAGTGACACTCTGCAACCAAGGCCCCTCCTTAGTGTCATGTACTGAGGTTGTCACATGTCTGGCTGAAGCCTGGGACATTCTGAGAAGCAGAATGGCTCCAGAAGTTTTTTGCTTGGCCACACCTCAAATCAGCTCTCCACAGATACTCAGACACAGGGAAGGATAAGCTCTTTAAAGATGACCTCTTAGTGTAGAGGACTGATAAGGGTTTGTATTTCAAGGTTTGGAAATGCAGACTTCCCTGTCACCTGGGAATTCTTGCTATCCCTGGCCGCAGAAGCTGTTGCTGCACAGTTTCTCTATCGTGAAAACTCAAGCTCACCTTCACCTGCCAGTTTATCTGAAGAGTTGGGCTGACCTTCCTCTGTCTTGCACTGTGTGTGAAGGGTTCTTTGCACTCAATAATTCAAGTTACTCTCCAGACTGGGTGGTTGTTGTGATAACAGGCAGGCATCCACTACACTGGTGTGTTCTGTGAGCACTGAGTTTTAATTTCCCCACTGTTTTCTCCTCCTCCCACAACTCAAGCTTTACTATCCTTAGGCTTTGGGTTTTTTTTGAAGATGAAGAATGGAGCCATTATTTAAAATTGGTGAGTACTTCTGGAAAACAAATTAAATTGGTAAAAACTCTTCAAGCTTGCTGGGTTTTTTTCTCATGAAGCTTTTCTTGCTCATTCTACTTAATTTAGTCAAGACTTTTTAAACCATGTTCTCTAAGGCAGGAATGTGGTGCTGGTAAAACTCTGCCAAAGGGAGAGCAGCTGTGTGAACAGTAAGATACCAGATAAGCAATTGTGTGGTACTTGCAGATACTGCAAGCTGATATTTTGTGTATTAATCTGTCAGTCACAATTCTATTTTCAAATGATATTTTTTAAGCATCTTGAAGGTTTAGCTTCCCCATTTTTTCATGATTCAGGTCCTTAACAGCCTATTAATGGTAAAAGGAAGAACTTGGTCTATTTGAGTCTCATTTTTGAGAGCTTAGAAGTAACTCTGTAGTTAAGTAGTAAAGAGTGAAGATTAACTGAATGAACAGCAGAAATTGTTTCCTTTACCTTAAATAAATAAGGACATTTTTAGGATTTAAGACGCTTTTCAGGATACATTGAGGGGTATGGTTTTCCTGTCTTCTGCTACATAATTTAATTTTCTAGGAATTAAAGTATTCTGCATTTAAGTATTTTATCACTGACTGATGTTTCCAAATGGGGCATGCTGACATTGTTGAACTACTGCTACACAGATGAAGCAGTGTTTTACATATTTTCATGTATTTTCCTTATCTGGGATCCCAGTTCCAGAAGAATGAACCTGTAAGTGCTATCTTTGTAACAATTAATTTGAAGTGTTTTGCCAACAAAGACTCTGCACATGTGTGTTTTCACACCTCAGGGTTTATGGTGGAAGTGTTTTGAAGGGGTTGAGGGTGTAATTTGCTGTGATGGAGAGCTGGTTCTTATGCCAGTCTTATTTTTTAATTCTGTTTGGTTTCTCAGATTATCTAGAGTTGGTTTCAAGTTCTTGAGATGACAAGCAGCAACTTTCTGAAAGTTTCATGATCATTTAAGAAAAAAAAAAAAAAAAAGGAAATCCAAAAGTTTTGGTCATGTTTGCCTTTTTATATAAAGAGAAATTTTTTTTTTTCTTCATGGAATGTTTCCTTTAAGTAGGCTTTTTCAGTTTTTGCTTTTTATGTGAAAATAACCTGCAGTAATAGTGATGGGCTGACATATGACAGCTCTTCTTAAAATTAATTCTATAATTTGTTGGGTAAAAATAACTCCAGTTGAATGCATTAATAATATTCTGCTTATGGAAAGGTAGAAACAAAAGCTAATGATGACTCATTAGATGAGACAAATTATATTTTTCATGCCTGTGAGTACAATATGTACCCTGTAAATATAAATAAGTCTTGGTTATTCATGGTAAATTAAAGCCTAAAATACATTAGGACAAAATGAAAGAATTTGTAGGTATTGAAGAAATCAGTCTGAGCTGAGTTGATGGTTTTGCATCTTTACAAAGCTATTTTGAACACTGAAAACAAAATCTGAAGTGTTTAATTGAAGTAGGTCTGAAAACTGTCTTAGAAAGTTAAGACAAAGACAATAATTTCTCAATATTAGGAGAGTGTTAAAATTGATGCAGCACTAATCATCCATGCCATTTGACTCCACGTCAAATTAACTTCAAATTTTCCATATCGTTAAAAGCTACGAGCGAACATTCTCAACTTCCTTGTTTCTTTTGGCTGTGCCTCACAGATGACAATCTAAATGTATGGAACAAGGACAGTCTGCTATTGAATATTCAATGCATTAATTTCACATAATTCTGTCTTTGGTGGTATGAGGTATTTATGACAGAACAGGTAGAGTGCATTTAGGAGGAGTAGTGTGTCTGCAAACACTGAAGAAACCAAGCTGCCAGTGCTGTAATGGGTGTCGTGGTTTAATCCCAGGCAGCAGCCAAGCCTGAGGCAGCCGCTGCCCACTGCCCACCAGAGGGATCAGGGAGAGAAAATCAGAAAGGTAAAAGCTGGAAAACTCATGGGGTTGAGTTTTATATAGACAGTTTAATAGGAAAAGCAAAAAGCTGTGCACACAAGCAGAGCAAAACAAGGCATTCGTTCCCTGCTTCCCATGGTTAGGCAGGTGTTCAGCCATCTCCAGGACATCAAGGCCCCATCACACATAACAGTGACTTGGGAAGACAAATGGCATCACTCCAAACATCTCCCCCTTCTTCTTTCTTCCCTCTACCTTCAACAGTGAGCAGGATGCCATGTGGTCTGGAATATCCCTTTGGGTCACCTCTCCTGGCTGTGTCTCCTCCCAACCTCCCAGGCATCCCCAGCTCCCCCCTCAGTGTGGCAGCATGAGAAAGAGAAAAAGCCTTGGCCCTTTGTAAGCCCTGCTCAGCAATAACAAAAACCATCTTTATATTACCAGCTCTGTGTTCAGCACAAGTCCAAAGCACAGCCCCATACCAGTTAGTGAGGAAATCCAGCTCTACCCCAGCCAAACCCAGCACAGCAGGACTTGGGGGCAGGCACCCAGCTGTCCTGGGCTACTGGCTCTGGTGGGGCAGGTTCATGCTAAAATAGTGTTGATAAATCAGTGTTTTGGCTGTTGCAGAATGGAGTTTGCAGTGTGAAGGCTTTCTATTCCCTACCCTGTGCTCACTCACAGATGTGCCAGGACATCTTCCTGCTCATGGGAAGCTGTGGATGAATTCTTGTCTCTGCTTTGCTTGCATATGCACCTTTTGCTCTCCCTGTTGAGGTATTCTCGCCTTCCTTCTATTCCCTCGCCATCCTGGAGCAGAGGGGGCTAAGCAAGCACATGGGAGGGTGTTTGGCTGTTTGCTGGCATCAGCCCACCACCTCCAAAACTGAGTGAGCTGTCCACCTCAGGAAATTGGCTGACAGGAGGAAAGAAGGTGAAGACACTTGAAGTAATTTGAAATAAAAAGGGAGGAGATATATCCCAACTTTCCTTAGCTGCCCTTCACAAAACACTGAATGTGTATCTTGTGTTTATTTGAGTTGTAGAGTGAGACAACTGGAGTAGGTTAATTTTTCTTCTATTCAGGTATCACCTGTATGAGGGAACAGACAGTATATATTCACTCCATTTCATGCTAGAAGTTCTTGGACCTGTTCTTTTGCAGTAGTAGCATTAGATTATCCCTGTAGAAAAGTGTAAAAATATTTTTGTACCTCAAAATGGAAGTAAGTTCTAATGTAAAATCTTTCATAAAATTTGTCATTATTAAAGGGGAGGATGGGAAGCTGCTAGTGGAAGACTATCTTCTGGTGCCGTGAAGATATGGAAAATTAACGGAAACATTAAATGAAAACCTGACCTTTAAAATGCATGGAAATTTAACCATTACTTTTGCACAAAGCTCCTTTCAGCTGTTGACTGCTGCTTCTGGGTTTTTGTTGTTTTCTTTGTCCATAGCAGTGGTTTTAGGCAACACTGAGTCTTTCAGTGTTCTGTAACCTGTGTCACTGCTATCTATGAATGTTTGAGGCAATCCCAATTTTAGTCATCAGTCAGAAGGTGGGGTTGGCCTTGCTTTGGGACTTTCTAGGGTGGAGATAATAGGAGAGACTGAAGATGCTTCCTGGTGTTGTGAAATACCACTTAATTTCCTTACTTTGCAATGCCACTAATAACTTATAACTTTAAATCTTTGTCTGTGGCATGTCTTTGTCAGAAAACAGCTAGCCCTATGCAGCACCAAAAAAAAGCATGTCTTTTGACTGGAAATGAGAAAGCAAATTATGCAAGCACATCATGTCCAAAACTGAAATGAATTTTTCTATCCAGGTTTGTTTATCTGAAGGGACCTAGTGTTGATCACTTCATGAAATGGAGCAGATGAGCTGTATGGCATAGAGAACAGGTTTTTGTGTAAAAAAAACCCCTCTATTTTCCTAAGGCAAACAATA